CCCCAAAACCCCAAAACCCCAAAACCCCTGAGATGCCGAAGATGGCTGAAAGCTTGCAAAATTTAATAATTAATAGGTTTTTTAATATTTGTGAGCAATTTTTTGGGGTTGAATTAGCAATCTTGCTGAATTTGGAGATACTTTTCTATTATGGAGATGTTCTTATCGATTTCACTAAGTTCTTTGTTCTTTTCGTTGATTTTCTTTTTAATAGAAGCCTATATATTTACTTATTAAAACCGATGGTTCTGGAATCATTAAGAAATATTTTTAAGCCAGATTAAAGAGTTAAGCAAAGAAGTAAAATGGGAAGTGTACCTTAATTGATTGGCCTTCTCAGTTAATCTCTGAGACTTCCTTCTCTTTAGTTTTCTTCTTATATCTTATACTGTTCATATATCTTCTGCTTGTTGTTCCTATTTCAGGACGTTTTACCATATAAGGGTCAATATCCTTCACATCTTCGGTGTCATAAAAGGAAAGGTCATTTCAAAATCTTTTTATAAATGAGGAAGTCTTCTCTTCGCTTTGTTGCCCGATATCATACAATCTTTCTCTGAAAGCTTCGTCCTCTCTCATATTAGGGTAATCTCTGACGACTGAGAGGAGACATTTGATACTGACTTCTCATAAATCAAGGTTGCACAGGAAATTATATGAAGATTCATTCCCGTTGTAATAAGTCCACTGAGCTATTGCGTAGAGTCTGGTATCATTATCAGTACAATTCGAAAGCAAACACTTTAGTTCATCCTGCAAGAGTAATTTTATAGAATTGTTCATGCACAATTTTGAGAATTCCCGACTTATGTAATTCATCACTGCACTGTGGAGGTATTTAACTTTAAAATAGGCATCTATCTTGAGACTATCTCCTTCTTCAAGGATTCCTGATGGAAGTTTCTGTAGCATTTTAGATGATTTCAAATTGGAAACTAAAGAATGCAGAACAACTGGGGAATATGATGGGTCCTGAAATGTGCTGGTTCAAACTGAGATAATGGTGTTCTTTGGATACCCCAAACTGTTCATCTCAGGAGGTTTCATTGTAAAAGTCACATTAATCGTTTCATCCTGTGGAGGAATATAAGATATGGATAAGATCCATAAAGCTTTGTCTATCTGAAATGGCTCTGTATCTTTCATAATGAATCTTCTCAGCTCAGTAAGATTCCAAGTTAAAGAGGGCTTGATTCCTGGGTTTGACGATAAGTACTCATTTTCAGCTTCTATTGCAGTTTCTCTCTCTGTTTCAAGAAGTTCAAAAGGAGACGCATAATCTCCTTCTTTAATCATAAAATCTATGATTGATGAACTGTTAAAATAAGAATCAGAGATATGGAATATTATTCATTTCTCAATAATAGTTCTCATTAAATCTGGCTTGTGATGAAAAATCTGATTTCATGTCTCTCTGCAATGTTTTAGTAAGTGCTTCAAGTTAAAGGAGCAAAAGTCAAGAATTTTAGCAAACGACTCAAAGAATATCCCACTTGTATCTCCAAGCTGCCTACTGTTGAGCAAATAATAGAATTTATCCACTAAGTATAGGCAGTTTTTCTCACTCACATTTGGGTCAAGAGTATTTACTAAGAGATCATCAACTATTTGGTTAAGGTCAAGAAGCTCTGAAATCTGGATAACAAGAACTAAGTCTTCAATCAAAGTGCTATCATTAAAGTGATGACTGGAAGACATTTTGTAGATTAATGAAGACTCATAGAACTGGAATAGTATTTCAAATATTCTAAGATTTCCATCCATTTCAAGAGTATATGTCTGTCTCTCACCTAAGCCAGCCATTTTTAGAGGAACTACCACTTTGGAAGGAATTTCGTAGATGAGGTGCTGACTCATTTGTTTCTCTAAAGATTAGTATGAAATTACGGTCATTAATCTGGAGGATCTCTCAGTGCCCTTCGTTCTTGGCTAAAACTATCTCAAACTCGATCTTGTTCATTTCAGTTCAGAGATGTGTATAGTTAATAGAATCATTACTATAATTCTTTTTTACAAGCACTGGTCTCTTCTCCATTTAAATTATTTAAATTTTTAATAGTTTAGCTACAAAATTGGGGTTTTGGGGTTTTGGGGTTTTGGGGTTTTGGGG